CATCATATAGCCAAGAAAAAAAAATCCCAGCTCTCTCAGTATTACAATATTTCACCTTATCTTGCATAACTTAATGTATTGAACCTCTAATCAGAAGCTTGAAATCATGAACCCAAGAATCTGGCTGAACTAGCATAGTAGAAATAATTGTAGTCGAGAGAGAGATGAGTCTACTAGTGACACCTGGCGTCCAAAATTAAGGTTGTAAAAATTTAGTCAAAGTAAAATGTAGTTTTGTATTTAACTATACATGTAGTAACTGATGTGTGAGGTGGTGTTAGTAAAGTTTTTGTTCCAATGACAGCAAATGTGTATGTGACATTGTGTATGTGGCATTAAGATACTGTCTCAGTGAAAGTTTACTGGAATGTAATGGAAGAAAGGAATATGCATTTTTACATTAAGAAGCACAAACCATTATGGCCAATGACTCCGAGCCTTAATGAAATTTCAGAAATCTAGGTAAGGCAGTGATGACATTGGAGTTGTATTTTGCTTCAATATGTCTGCCCTTCTGTGGCAAAGTGACAAAATATGAAAGCCTCTAATTGCACAGAACAATTGACCCATCAGCCACCTCTGCCATTATAGGAACACAGATTATGTACTGTAGTTCTTTTACTTGTTATTTGTAGACTATTGGGTAAGGGTAACAAGTAGGATAATAGCCAACATAAGTAAGGGAGATAAAATCTGTCCTATTGCTACATCAAACTGGTCTCTCAGGAAGAGCAAATTCTGAGATGATATGAACATATGAGAACTAAGCTAACCCGTTCAGTTAGATTATACATCCTTATAACAGGAGGAATTCTGCTTAAAATCTGATGACTGCAGTATAGCCTGCCATGCTCAATTTTATTTCTACGTTCCTTGATTTTACATATAGCATACATTATTCTCTCCTTGCCCAGTAGAATTTTGAAGAATAATTTAACTTGAATCTGTAGTACTTTGAGCTATGTTCAGTGACTGGATGGCTGGGCTGTTGTTATTGTCTATTTATTGCATTGTTTGTAGCGCGGGGGCACAATATAGCCTAACTTCTGACCAAAAGGGAACATAAATGCTTTGGAAAGCAACAGTGAAGTAGGTAGAATTTAGCATACAGAGCAAGCAAACAAACTTCTCAATGTGCATAGGCATTCAAGCCAATGTAATGCCAACTGACATGCTTCACAAACTCAAAGAAAAGGAAGAGGTCATACCAATGATATTTGACACCATATAACAAAGTTACAGGTTGCTGAATTTAGTGTTCCTCATAGTGAAGCTATCTGACATCTCAGCCATTCTTAGAGCTTTTAAATATTCATTTTTAACATTTTAGTTTCTCAGGATAGAGAGAGCTAAAATATATAACCTAATGTAAAAGGGTGACAGGTTCATATTATGCCTGCAAAGTTAAATTAGAGTGGAAAAACTAACATTTTTCAAGCTATTAAAAATGCATACACTATAAAATATTATAAAAGTCTGTAATACAATAATATATTTTTAAAAATCTACTAAGTAAATATATGTTTAAAAAATAAGGAATTGGTTTTCCATAAAAGTTATATGTAGATAGGAGAGAGAAGGTAAGAATGAAGCTTGGTCATGTGGGAAAATTACTATATAAATAAACTGACAACCTCACAGACTGGTTCATTATGCCAAACCATATGAAATTTTAAGAATTTGCTTAGATCCCAGAGACCTGAGTTCATCTAGTCTTCAAGAGTTTACTTCAGAGCTTATAGATGCACTGCACTTTTGAACCAGAGACAAGTTGTAGGTTTGGTATCTTAAAGGACATGAACCTTATCCCATGTTCTGTGCTTTGAAAAGTCCTATATAGTCACTAGAGATTTCTCAGACAACCTTTTGGAATAAGTTCAACACCTGTTATGTTTCATGAACTAGTGGCACAGCTGTTTGAAGATTATGAAGTGAGGATCATAGAGTGGAGGTCATTTGAACAAGAACATGGGACACACCACGATGACTCAGGGGATTCTGAGAGATCTTGCCAAGAATTGGGGAAATTTTCATTATAGGGTGTATCTCTTAACATTTTGTAACAGAGTAATCTCATGTTAAAATGAACTCTGGCAAATACAGCTATACAAAGATGACATTTGGTATAGACTGCTGCTAAGAAACAGCATGGTCACCAATTAAGAATGGCGGATGACAAGACAAGCAAACCTCAAACTATTGAATGGTATGTGTAAAACATGCAATCCAAAATTCAGCTAATGGGATGTATGCTTAAAGGAACTGAGGCAAGAACAACCCATTGTAGAAGCTGTAAAAAGTGAATGACACTGAAAATAAGAGCTGGTCTATGCTAAAATGGCCTGTTGGTGAAATGGGTGTTAGCAGTGAGTACAGCTGAATTGGTGACAGACATACTTTAGCTACTAGCATAGCCAAAACAAATGAGGTAAAAGTATTTGTAAATGGGAAATACTAAAGAACCTCGAAATTATAAGCACCTCAGGAAAGGAGGTTATTTGTAACTCTGAAATGTTTGTAACACTGAAGAAACATTATGGTTCTTTCAAAAGTTGACAACTAAACATTGACTTAACACATCTTTGAAACTTTACTATGCAGAAGAAAAATGCTGCTTTCACCTTTTTTAGTAGTTTACATTTAACACAGTACTGTACTGAATTTGCTTTTTCAGTTTGTAACTCTGAGGTTCTACTCACTGTAACTCTGAAATGTTTGTAACACTGAAGAAACATTATGGTTCTTTCAAAAGTTGACAACTAAACATTGACTTAACACATCTTTGAAACTTTACTATGCAGAAGAAAAATGCTGCTTTCACCTTTTTTAGTAGTTTACATTTAACACAGTACTGTACTGAATTTGCTTTTTCAGTTTGTAACTCTGAGGTTCTACTCACTGTAAACAGTCTTACATTCAAGTCTTTTAAAACCATGGTTTCAGTACCATGGATATCTACCAAGCTGTTAAATGACCAACACCACTGCACACAAACAGATCATTTCTCGCGGATGTTCATCAGATGTTGGAAAGGGGCATTAAAAATCTCAAATGTGCTTCTACAGAACTCATTTGATTGGGATGCTACTTTTACTCTAACTTTCTAGTAGTGATGGTGTCCTATACCAAATCATTCGAACATCTGCAGAAACTTCCAAGAGTTTTGTAGCATTCGTATTTCCTTAGATAGTCATAGGACTGGTAGCTCAAAAGTTTTTTATTTAACTGTTGAATCCTATATCGCAAGTTTTTTATGTTTATCATAAATATTGCTTTCCTCGGCAATCTCTCAACCACATGTCCACATGAAGAGAAGACTACAGGTTAAAACTAAAAAATCCAAAGCTCTCTGATCTGGCAACAAGATCAACAATGTTCCTGGGCCAGAGAGCCGCTGTGACCAGGAGTCGGGCAGGAGCAGGTCCAGCATCTCAGCTGGGGCGGGTGGCAGTCCAGCTAGAGCCAGCAGCCCAGCAGAGCCAGTGGCCAAGGTGGGATAGAGCAGGCAGCAGCTGGGGCTGGGAGCAGAGCCAGGCAGGGGATCCAAACTCGACCTCCCTTCATCTAGCAAACTCTCTTGTTCTGGACCTATCAGGTCCCAAGGGTGCCAGATCAAGGCAACACAGCCTGTACCACATTTTGAATCAGTCTCCTTTTAGTCAACCTCCAATGGACCTTATTCTGTTTCACCTCCTTATTGTGATTAGGGACATCAAAATAAGCACTATGACATTAACCTTATTTTCTTTGGGTTGTAGAGTATGCTAACTCTACTAACTTTGGAGAGAGCCTTCATTTTGCCTGTAACATGTCTAATGTATTTTGGAAATGTCCTATCTGGCCAGATTGCTTTGTGGATTGCAGCCCCTTTGCACAGCTCAGGCAACATAAAGAGGCTTTAATTTCTTGGGTATGTCTACACTATGTGCTTATTTCAAAATAAGCTATTTCTGAATAAACATTCTGAAATAGCTTATTTCAAAATAACTCATCCACAATACAAATCCCCATTGAAATAGCACAGAGCTATTTCAAAATAGAGTGTCCACATTGATTGGAGCCTGAGTCACATATAAGAGCCCTCGGAAGCACTTTGGGCAGGGCATCAGGACAGTCATCACTTCCTGTAGCTGCTGCCTGCGGCTATCTGAGGCGCATGCTTAAAGGGACCCCCCCTGTTCAGCTGTGTCTGAGGCTCTTCAACTTTACCTACCTCCTTGAGGGACAGCAAAGCCTGTTCTGGTTGCCCTGCAGACACCACAGCACTCCAGCCATGAAGCCAGACCTGCTGGAAAGCAGTCACCAGCTCTTCGACCTGCTGCCGCACCTCCTGGTGCAGTTACTGCAGGCTGCCCTTGCAGCTGTGCAGGAACAGGACCCATTGCTCCCTGTGGGACACCTTCTCTTTTCTTTCCATGTGCTGCTCATGCAGCACAGCCCCTCCCCTGCACCACTAGTTCTGGCAATGGGGCACCAGTTCTGACTGGTGGAACTGGATTGTCATGGAGCAGTGGGATGACCAACAGTGGCTCCAGAACTTCTGCATGCAGAAGGACACCTTCCTGGAGCTGTGAGAGTGGCTCACCCATGCCCTCTGGCAATGGTAGACCCATATGAGACCCACCATCCCTCTCCATCAATGGGTCACCATCGCACTGTGGAGGCTCACCAGGCTGGACAGCTACCGCTCTGTCGGGAACCCAGGTCAGCATGGGGAGATCGATTACCAGGGCCGTGCTCATGCAAGTATAGGACTCTCATGCTATTGTCCCACGAGGATGGTAAACTGCTGGAATGGAGCTCCCTAGGGAAGGGGGGTGGAAACTCCCTTCCTGGAAGGTTTGTCTGTCCCCTCTTCACAAAGCCCTGCCAGGGAATGGGGTAAGTTGGGGTTGGGCCTGGTGTTTGAGAAGCGGGGATCGGCCTCAGGGAACTGCCAAGGGCTCTGGCAACCCTGTGATTCTCTGTTTGTCTCCTACAGGTGATGTGGGCCACCAACACCATCCTGCTGCACAGGGTCATCATCCTGGGTGACGCGGACCCCATCATCACTGGCTTTGCCACCATGGGCTTCCTCAACTGTGGGGAGAAGGGTCATTGATAGCACTTACATCCCCATCCGGGCCCCTGACCACCAGGCCTCTGATTATATCAACCAGAAGGGGTACTTTTCCATGGTCTTTCAGGCCCTCATGGACCACCAAGGCTGGTTCCCTGACATCAGCATCAGGTGATCAGGGAAAGCGCACGATGCCCGCATCTTCTGCAACTCCAGCCTCTACCAGAAGATGCAGGCCAGCACTTTTTTCTCCGACCACACGGTCAGGGTTGTGGACATGCCCATGTGCATTATGAGGGATGCAGCCTGCTCTCTCCTTCCCTGACTTATGAGCCCTACACGGGACACCTTGACAAAGCAAAAAACATTTCAATGGCAGGCTCAACAAGGCTCACATTGTTGTGGAAGGTGCCTTCAGCCATCTCAAAGGGAGATTCCACTGTCTCCTCACCCAGCTGGACCTCGGTGAGTGGAACGTCCCCCAAGTGGTGGCGGCCTGCTGTGTCCTCCACAATATTTGTGATGATAAGGGGGAGACATTCCTGCCAGGGTGGGGGCCAGAGGCCGAGCATCTCGTAAGAGCCTTGGAGCAGCCGCATATCACTGCCATCCAGCAACCCTTTCAGGGGGCTGTGTGCATCCGAGAGTCCCTAAGAGAGAGTTTCAGACAAGGATACCTGTGAGACTCTCCCCCAGGCCTCTCTACAATGGGCCTCTATAAGGCCCCAGTGTGCCTTTCTCCACCACCCCTTCCTTCCCCTGCCCTCCCTTCCCCCCTTCCACCTCCTCTCCATTCTCTGCTGATAAAATAAACAAGACTTTTTGTTTTGGAACAATAAACTCTCTGTACATTTTAATTGAGGTAAATATAACTGGGAGGGACTGGGGAAAGAACCCGGGAGGAGGGAGAAGAGGCTCAGGGATGGAGCTGGGACTGGCACCTGCCTCAGACAGTCCCATTGCCTTGCGTACAGGGCCCTCTGTGGCCACAATAGGGGATTAAGGGGAGAAGCCAGAGAGTTGGGGGGCAGAAGAAGGTATAGGTATGGGGGAGGGATTTGGGAAAGACCAGTGCAGGGGGATGGCTGCTGGACTGTTCAATCATGGTGAATGCTGTTGGTGGGAGGAGAGAAGGCAGTGAGGGTGTGATGATGGAGAACAGACCAGCACTAATCCTACATCCACATAGGGTCTATTATGGTCATTCTGTCAGTGGAGCAATTTAGAACTCTCTAACAGCAGATCAAAGCAGTGTTGGGGGAAGGGGTGGCCTTCAGAATCAGGGAGCTGTAACAGTGATTTTCTAACACAAGAGAGAAGCCTGTGTGTTTCAGATCTGGGGTCAGATCCTCCACTTATTCTGGACCCTTTATGTTTGATAATGTTTAAGTTTCAACAGGGGCAGCTGTCCCCTAGCACAGATACAGCAGAAAATGGCCACAAGGCTGTCTCCCAAGGATGCCCTCAAAAGACTCAACATAAGGAGAATGCTGGGGGAAACTGAGGATGGGAGGAGCATATTGGGTGGGGCTTTCAGGGTAATCTTAGTACATTTCCTATTTCCCCTGTGAGTTGTTTTACCACGACTTTCTGCCAAGTACAGCCAGCAGCAATCAGAGCCAGGTTCAATATCGAAGGGTTCCTTTCAATTGATGCAACACAGGACTGGCTCAAGCCCTCACCCAATAACCTAGAAAATTTACACACCAACCTTGGGTGCCACTTGTAAGCCCAGAGTCTAAGTGTAGAGAAGAAACTTTTAATAAAAGCAGAGTGATAAATTGTCATAAATGTGCGGAAACATGCAAACAGGGTTCGTAAACATAAACCATGAGTAAAAGACTCATGGGAAGTGTCCTTTTCCCCTCAGGTTCTTAAGTCCAGCTGCCCATTAGTCCACATCACATGCCCGACCCCTCTCTGGCACTCCACTTACAGTTGCTGTCAGTGATTAGTGGAGTTCCAAGATTCAGAGGTGCATTTGCAGAGTGCACCACCCACCCCAGGCTGTGAGGGATAAAGAGAAACCTTACTAATTCCACTAATTGGGCACTCACTCACTGCTCCTCTTTCCCAGTCACCCTGCTGGCCACTTGCCAAGTGTTCCTGCCAACCACCAGCTCACTGCTTCAACCAACTGCCTGCTCACCACTCCCAGGCTATGTCTACACTCGCAGCTTCTTGCACAAGAAATATGCAAATGAGCCTAAGCATGGAATATCGCCGAGCCTCATATGCATACCTAATGAGCCACCATTTTTGTAGACGAGGCTCTTGTGCCAGAATGAGCTGTCTACACTGCCCCGTCTTGCGCAAGAAAAACCCACTTCCGCAATGCTGCTACGCCGATTACTTTTCAGGAAGAACGGCATTACGCAAGAGGGTTTGTCTTGTGCAAGAAGGGGCAGTGTAGACAGCTCATTCTGGCACAAGAGCCTCGTCTACAAAAATGGTGGCTCATTAGGTATGCATATGAGGCTCGGCGATATTCCATGCTTAGGCTCATTTGCATATTTCTCACACAAGAAGCTGTGAGTGTAGACATAGCCTCACTGTCCTCTCTGCCACCACCCTGCTGGCCACCTGCTCACTGACAACCCTAAATAGCATCCAGGCACAGAAGCCAATCACAGGCTTTCTGGGTAAAACCCAGGCAGGTAGTAATCCTAATAAAAGGTTGATTATTGTGAAATACCTGGCATTGGATTATTTCTTGGATATCCATAGAGCCAAGGGAGGGAAAGCCCTCGGGCATCAAGATTCCTCCTGCATGACTGCTATAAGTATGGTAGGGACAGCCCCCTTTTCCCTCCAATCCTCACTAAAGGTAGCATGTTTAGTTTAATTCTGGCTTTAAATTGTATTGACTTTTAAGAATGAGCAAAGGATAGAAATGCAGCCGACTAGAGAAACCAAAAGTCTTTGATATCTTTTTCTGTCCAAGGAGGGAAAAGAAGGTCAAGATCGCTCGCAGGGCTGTTTGGGGTGGGTGAGACAGGGAGCTCAGGCCAAATAGTTCCATTGCTCCCGACTACAAACTTGGGCTTGAAACCCCTTTTTCCTCACACGAATAACAGAATATGCAGCATTATATACACCAGTAAGAGCTTGTTATTTTCCTAACTGCCATATGCAAAGAAGCCTAGATTTGGTCTGAAATGGTCGTCTGGTTTACTCTCTTGTGAAGACCTAAAAATATAAAAGGAATAATAGAATAATTCTACTAGATATGTGGAGAAAATCAAATGTCATCTATCCTATGTAGAGTGTATGAAGAGTCAGATTTTGGATATTCTTTTGTTTATTCGTGTATTCGTGTGATAGCCTATCTCCATTCTTTTTCTTAAAAATTGGTACAAATAGTATTAAGAAGGGTTTTTTTTTTCCGAACTGGGGCATTTTTAGTGATACAGGTAAAAAAGAGATTGTTAAAGTGTACTTATAATCTTGACAGTGTCCCTTTTAGTTTGTTCTTAATAGCTGGCTGTTTCTAAAATAGTGAATCAAATATGTTGTATGTGCATTAATAAATAATTGATCATTAGACTTCAGGGAGTGTTCCTCACAAAATTCTCTGCCTTTATTTGCTAGGTAAAGAAAATGTGCTCAGTGCTGTACATGACACTAAGATAAAGGGTCCGTATCCCAAAAAGCTTACATTCTAAAACAGACATTTATCACTTTAACAGCAAGCCAAATGTTGATCTTAAATAACATAAAGTGCCTCTTTAACTGCAATCTTATTTTTATTCATGTCATAGCCGATAGTAAATTCCTACCAAGCAACACTACTTTTAAGTGGAGGTCACATCCCTTAATCTATTATCTGACTTTTCCATCCATTACCACTAAAAATCAAGAAGTGAAGTTAGAATTTAATTTCTCTGCTTTTGAGTTCTTTGTAAAATTTTATGTGGAAAAAAACTTGAAAAGAGCTTACTTCGTTGAACCCATTAGAGGTCACTATCAGTAAGATGATCTGTCAGAGGTGGAAGTATAGATGATACCTGACATATGCTAAGTAATTCCTCTGCTGTGAAATTTGTTAGTGTTTAACCATAGTACACTTTAGTCTAGCTTTAAAATGCAGTGTGGTAGGGTCAGGCCAGAGGACTGCTATGAGGGGTGGGAAGAGCAGCCCCAAAAGGGTAAAAGACCTGTTTATAGAAGCAGAGGGCTACAGGACAATTAGCAGCAGCTGGAGGAATCTGGCTCAGGCAGATTGTGGCAGCTGACTCCAGTGCGGGCTGGCTGAAGGCCTTTAAAAGCCTCAGCAGTTGGAAGCTGGGGGAGAGAGTGAGAGGACAGGTGAAGGAGAAACAGAGAGCAAGGAGTTTGAGAGCGAGTCATACCAGCATTAGAGCAGTCACAGCTAGGGAGGGATATCCAGAAGGAGTGGCTGGGCTCCCTATCATGGAGACTCGCTGAGAGCCCCAACCCCTGGAGTTGGGAGCGAGAGGCTGGCCCCAGTGGTGGCCTGGTTAAGAGCGACCCATACTACAGTGGGCAAAACTCAGAAGCTAATATTATCACTCAAATAAACCTTGCAATTAAATCCTGAAAGATTTTCAATGTTTTAAATTAGCACAGAAAAAAATACATTCTGGGATCCAAATCCTGAGTCTTGAAATCAGTGGAAGTTTTGCCAGACTTCAGTGGAATCCGAATTTGGCCTCATTCCACTGCTTGAAATGAAATTTACCAACTCTGATTAAGTAACTGAATAAGAATAATCATGACTTTTTTGGGGCCAATTGGAATGTCATTTATAAAAAAAGGCTACTATATACTCCAAGTTTTACTGAAAAATTATTAGAGCTTCCACAGAATTCCATCCACAAACTATATCAGTTTAAAATGTACTGAAATCTTAGCGCCTAGCCCCGAGTTGAATTACAACCAAATTTTGGGTAGTGCTTTTAACACTGATAGCCTAATAAATCTCCCTGGTTGGCACAACGGTCTTTCCAGTACCAGTACCGTGGCATATCTAGACTACCAACCATCTGACTTCAAGGTATGGGGGCAGATTTCAGTGGGTATTTGCTTATGACTTCTGAATATCTAGCTTCTTTAAAGGTGACTCAAGATAAATGTTGAAAAAATGGAGGCAACCAAATTACTATTTACTTCTATAAATTTAGAGCATTGAATACTTTTGCCGCTTAAAGTATAGGAGTCTCTCTTTCTTTAGTAATAAAGAAAAATCCTTGTGTGGTTTTGGGTTTTTGTTTTTTTGGGTGGGGGGGAGGAGTTTGGCACTGAGATCATCACTACTGGGAACTACCACTTTATTTCATTTAGAAGAATGAACAAGTTCTAGATGGCATCAAGAAGTGGGTTAATGTATTTATTTTATTTTATTACTACATCTGTTGTTTTATTATAAATCAGGCTAGATTTCTCTTCTGCAGTTGGCGCGTAGGTGATAACTTTTATGTGCTCACATTGGAATGTCTTCAATGATACACTATGCTGGCATAGAAGATGATACTGTGTAACAGAGATGCATGGCATTTATCAAGCATTTCCATTATGCAAGGCAGTGTAGAGCACCAATATTGTTTACCATCTGTGTTAATGCAGATAAATTTATTATAAATAATTCATTGCATTTTATAATTCAATGCAAAATCATTTAAATTCTTACTTTGGCATAGTGTATGGATTTGTCCTACTAGAAATATGGACCCTGAATGCAAATAAGTTTGTTTATTTGTTAATAATTGCATTGTAGCAGCTGAATGTAGTAACAAGTGCTATGGCTCAGGCATGAAGTCATCATTTCTCCCTGATAGAAAAGAGCCTTGATTGTTTCTAGTTTTCAGCACCTTTGAGCTTGGTGCATCCATTTCTGGCAGTTCTTGCTGGCCCTGCAAAATACAGCACCTGTCCCACACAAAAAGACTATTAAGAAGTGTTTTTATTTACCTTTTTATATCACAACATAATTTATTATGTTAAAAATGTCATATTCTAACTCTAAAAACGAGTAGTCCTGTGGCACCTTGTTTTTTAACAAATCTTGGGAAAGTACAGAAATTCCAATGGATTGGAGGACTGCCAATGTGGTTCCAATATTTTAAAAGAGATAACAGAGGAAACTGTCGACCAGTTAGCCTGATGTTAATGCAGATACTATCATATTGTATTTGGGGGCTCAGGATGGATGGTTGGGGGTGTGGGAGGGCTCAGGGCAGGAGCCTGGGGATGCAGGAGGACTCAGAGGGCTGAAGGCGTAGGGGAGCTCAGGGCAAGAGTCAGGCAGTGTAGGGAGAGTGCACAGAGGGGGATCAGGGTAGGGGTAGTGTTGTTGCAGTCGGTTACCTTGCCTTGTACTGCTCCTATTTCCAGCCAAACGGGAGCTGTGACTGTGGGGCCGGCACCTGCAGCCAAGGCAGTGCGCAAAAACCCACTGCCATTCTCCTCCCCACAGGGGCTGCATGTCACAGGGATGGAACATGGCTTGCAGCCAGCATGGGGCCAGCGGAACAGGCTGGGGCTACGTCTACACTGTTAAGTTTTTGCGCAAAAACTCACAGAGTGTCTGCACTACAAGCGCATTTTTGTGCAAAAAAAAGTACATTAGATCATCAGAAGACAGGGCTTTTTGCGCAAGAGTTATTCTTCTTTCTACGAGGAATAAGCCTCTTGTGCAAAAAGTCATGTGTGGACGGACAACAAGGGTTTCTTGCGCAAGAAAACCCTATAGGAAAAAGCACAGGTGCTTTGTGAATAGCAATAAGAGCTTTCTTATGCAAGAGAATCCATGGCAGTGTGGACGCGCTCTTGCGCAAGAACTTTTTGTGGAAGATCTCTTCTGCAAAAAGTTCTTGCGCAAGAAGCCTGCAGTGTAGACGTAGCCTTGGAGTTCCACACTGCCAGTGGGAGCACAGGTGTGCCTCCTCCTGCAGCACCCCCAGCTGGCCACTTTCTTACTGGTACAGCAGACCAGGGCCCACCAGCCTACTTTTACCTCTGTGTCGATCCCACATAAAAATGGAACTGTTAATTTGGGAATCTATTAACAAAGGATAAGAGGCTAAAAATGACCAATGCTAGATTCCAAGACCCAAACAGACCACTGTGATCAACTTGTTTGACCTCCTATATGACACATAGAGAATGTCTGTTCTTAAAAATTGAGAATCTATTGTGATCCTTGGTAAATTGTTCCAATAGTTAATTATCCTCACTGTTAAAAATGAACACACCATTTTCAGGTTTAATTTGCCTAGCTTCAGCTTCCAGATGTTGGATTGTGTTATATCTATTTTCACTAAATTAAAGAACCCATTGTCAAATACTTGTTCCTCGTTTCCCAATCTTGTCATCATTCTTTTGGCTTTCCTTTGAACACTCTCCACCTTATTAACATTGTTATTGAACTGTGGACACCAGAACTGGACATTATTTTCCATCAGTGGCAAATGCAAAGGTAATATAATCTTTCTTCTCCTACTTAAGATTCCCCTATTTATACATCCAAGAATTACATTAATCCTTTTGGCTACAGCAACACAGCTGATTATCACCACGACTCCCAAATCTCTTCAAAATCACTGCTTCCATGGATAAAGAGTCCTCCATCTTGTAAGAATGGCCTACCTTCTTTTTCTCCTAGGCCACATTGAAATGTATGTTGTTTGTATGCACCCATCTTACCAAGTGACCTGTGACCTGTCCTTCATTGTTTACCACTCCCCTAATTTTTGTGTCAATGGCAAATTTTATCAGTGATAATTTTTTTCAGGTCATGATAAAAATGTTAAATGACATAGGGACAAGAACCAATCCCTGCATGAGACCATTGGGAACATATGTGCTTGACGATGATTATCCATTTACAATTACAATTTGAAACTTGGACGGTTTTTATTTATTTAACATTTACCTTTAATTTACTAGAGTTTTTCAATCAAAATGTGTAGTACCAAGTCAAATACTGAACAGAAGTCGATGTACATTATATCAACACGCCTACTTTCATAGACGAAACTTGTAATCTCATATAAAAATCAGTTTACTTTGACAAGATCTGTTTTTCATAACCCCATGGTGATTGGAATTAATTTTATTACTCTTAGCCATTTCATTATCTTGAATGTTACACCAATGTCAAACTGGTTACTCTTTTTTAATCCTGGCCCATTTCTTCCAGTCTTCTGGAACTTCCCCGGTATTCCAAGACTTACTAGAAATCAATATTAATGGTGCAGCGAACTCCTCAGAAAGCACTTTTATAACTCTTGGATGCCAGTTATGTGGATCTTCTGATTCTACAATGTCTGATTGCAGTAGATGAAGTCTTCTTATGGATGAACATTGAAATGGAGAGAGCATCTTTATCGTCTGGCTTTTTTCTAAGTACAGAAGAGAAATATTTTGAACATTTCTGCCTCTTCTGCATTATTATTGAACATTTTACTATTTCCATCTAATAACAGACCCATAAGATAGTCACAATTATTTTTAGTCTTAATATATTTAAATGCCTACATACTGTCCTTAACTTTATAGGCCAGAGATTTCTCCTTGAAACTTTTGGCTTCCTATGTCAATTTTCTACAATTCTTAACTTCTGGTTTATATTCATTACTATTGATTTCACCTTTATTTCAGTCATAAATTATTTTATTTTATTTTTATAACTGTCTTCTCACTTCCCCTGTAAGTCATGTAATTTTTTAACCAATACTGCCATCTTCCATTGATGTGGCTTTGGGGGCATCTATTAAAATGTTCTCTTAAAAAATCCAGTTATTTAAATTTTTCTGATTAAATTCCCCATAAGATTTTTTTATTAAACTCAGATCTAAAATTCCTTTTCTATGCTTGAAAGTTTAAACTGAGTCTTCCAATTTGGTACAGTAACTCACAGGATGATTGGATTTGCTATGTACCTTTTTTTAAAGAAAATGATTTAATAACTCTTACAGAGCAAACATTTAAATGTGTTTGTTATTCCCCTAATGGAAGTATGTAGTATGGAACATTCTATTTGACTAGAGTGAAGCAGAGACCCACTGTTGTGAATGGCAAAGCATTTGTCACTCTGTATCAGCAAGTCCTAATAGGCCTGGCAAACTCACTACACTTATCACATCATTTTCATAATGTCTATTCATTTAGGCTATGTCTAGACTGCAGGCTTCTTTCAGAAGAAGCTTTTTTCAGAAGAGATCTTCCAAAAAAACTTCCGAAAGAGAGCATACACACTGCAAAAGTGCATTGAAAAGCGATCTACTTTTTTGAAAGAGAGCATCCAGACTGAATAGATGCTCTCTCGCATGTAAGCTGTGATTGCTAAGGATTGAATGACAACCAGGGTACCTTTGCTTTTTCCTCTTTACTCTTCTTCTGAAAGAACACCCTTTCCCCCATCCACACACACCTTTTTGCAAAAGAGCTCTCTCACAAGAAGGCTTCTTCCTCGTAGAATGGGGATTACCAATGCCGGAAAAACCCCTCTGTTCTTTCAATTTTTTTTGTGGGAGAACGCAATTGCAGTGTCGACGTTTCTCAAGTTTTGTTGGAAAAACATCTGTTTTTCTGACAAAACTCTGCAGTATAGACATACCCAAAGTGTGTCATGTAATATCCTAAATGGAAGCCGGGATCATGCTGGTCATTAATATTGTGAAATGTATGTAGAGATGCTATTTAAAAAGCTATGTCTATATACCGAAGATACCTTCTTATAGTTTGCATCAAGCTGTTGCTCCCCGTAGAGGTGAGAAACTAGTTTCTTGCCACACCAGAGATGTTTGTCCATCCATTTGCTGAAATGTAAATTGAGCATTGTCTTATTCATTGTCATCAGGCAGTGCTAAATGCAGATTTAACAGGCAGAGCAGAACAGCAGGAGGAAAGAGCTTTGTTTGGGAGTGCACATAAGAGATTTATTTGGTCTATAACTAAAGAAGAGAGACAATGCCCTGTTATCCTGCACTTTAGGAAGTAATCAGGCTGTGAAATTATATTAAAGAAAATGAGAAAACCTGTTCTGGCTGAAAATTCTGCAAGAAAGCTTTAGGTGAGAAACTGCTTTAGACATGGATTTTAGCCTGGTAATGTTACATTTAGGGTGTGTCTGGACTAAGGATTTTTTTTTAAAAAAGTGGCCTTTTTTCGAAAAAGCTTCCCCTGCATCTAGACTGCATGTTTTTTCTTTTTAAAATTAAATCAAAGGAATGTGGCGTTTTTTTGACCATGGTAAACCTCATTTTACGAGGAAGAACGCCTTTTTTCGAAAGTGCTCTTTTGAAAAAAGGCGTTCTTGAATGCAAACAGGGCTTTTTCAAAAGAGAACGTCCAGACTGCCTGGCTGCTCTCTTTTGAAAAAGCGGCTTGCTTTTTTAAAAGAAGTGACTTGTCATCACCTACAACCCCCAACTTAAACCTGTCCAACACATTATCAATAAACTACAGCCTATATTGGAACAGGATACCATACTCAAAGAGGCTCTGGGAGACAGACCCATAGTCTCCTATAGACAACCACCTAACCTCAAGATGATTCTTACCAACCACCACAGGACATACCACACTAATACCAACCCTGGTACCTTCCCTTGCAACAAACCCCGTTGCCAGCTTTGTCCACATATTCATTCTGCTGATACCATTATTGGACCTAACCAAGTGAGTTATAAGATCAAGAACACATATTCCTGCGCATCCAGAAATATAATCTACGCTATCATGTGCCGAAAGTGTCCGTCTGCTATGTACATTGGACAAACATCTCAGACACTTCGCCAAAGGATTAATGCCCACAAAACAGATATCAGACAAGATCACAAAGAGAAAACAGTTTCTTGCCACTTTAACCAGAAAGGACACTCTCTAAATGACTTAGCCACCTGCATTCTGCTACAAAGACCTTTTACATCTGCACTTGAAAGGGAATCCTCTGAACTGTCATTCATGTTAAAATTCGACACTTACCACCAGGGACTTAACAAGTCTTTGAACTTTCTCACCCATTATCAAGACAGTTTCCCCAATTATCACCTGTAATACCATTAACTCACAAACATCCCACTCTCCCTACCTCTAATATCATCAATTCACAGACACTTACCTTCCTTCCTCCCCCTTCCCACCCCCCCGCCTCCTCCTTCTGTTCTGCAATGTGATTTGTCCTTTTCATATTTGTTCTTTTTTTTAATTGTATCCTTTGGTATATATGGTTGTGACTACTTTCTTCCACTATTTGATCTGAGGAAGTGGGTCTGGCCCACGAAAGCTCATCATCTAATAAACCATCTTGTTAGTCTTTAAAGTGCTACATTGTCCTGCATTTTGTTACAGTCTAGACGCTCTTTTTCAAAAGAGGCTTGTAGTCTAGACATAGCCTTAATGTCGAAGGTTTTGTCTACAATAAAGATATGACTGCATGGAGAGTTTACAGAAACACTGTACCGATGCAGGCGTGCTGCTGTAGGATTTCTCATGTAGACACTTTATGCCAGTCTTGGGAGCACTCTCATCAACATATTTAAATCTCCCACAACAAAGCAGCCATAGCTATGCCAGTGAGAGAACTTGCCATCATAGTGCTATGCACATTACCACTTATGCCAGTGAAGTTTGTCACTCAGCTGGGTGGTTTTTGACACCCCTGAGTGACATAAATTTTGCTGATGTAATTAATACAGGCAGTCCCCGGGTTACGTACAAGATAGGGACTGTAGGTTTGTTCTTAAGTTGAATCAAAGCAGCCATAGCTATGCCAGTGAGAGAACTTGCCATCATAGTGCTATGCACATTACCACTTATGCCAGTGAAGTTTGTCACTCAGCTGGGTGGTTTTTGACACCCCTGAGTGACATAAATTTTGCTGATGTAATTAATACAGGCAGTCCCCGGGTTACGTACAAGATAGGGACTGTAGGTTTGTTCTTAAGTTGAATCTGTATGTAAGTCGGAACTGGC